CAAGCCGGCGCCGGCGCCGGCGCCCACCGCCAACGCCCAGCACGGGGCCTTCTCGCGCCCCAAGTCGGACGTGGACGACATCGACGCGCTCATGGCCTCCCTCTCGCTGCCCGCCGGCGGTGGTGATGGCGGCGGTGGCGGCGGCCGTGCGGCGGTGCCGGCTCCGGCTCGGGGCGGCGGCGGCGGCGGCGGCGGCGGTGGAGGCGGAGGCGGAGGCGGAGGTGACGGGCTGCTGAACGATCTCGATGCCATCATGGCCTCCCTCGGCGAGCCCGCTGGCGGCAGCGCGCCAAGCGCCCGATCGTCCACTGCCTACCCCGTACGCAACACGGCACACCGCACACACCGCACACACCGCACACATGGGCTGACGCGTTGCGTACGTGTTGTGTGTTGTGTTTGTGTTGTGTTGTGTGGTGGATAGCAGGCGGGTGGTGGTACCGCGCGTCCCGGAAGCGTCGCCTCTCCCGCCGGCTCCCGAGTCAGCGCCGCCCTCGGTACGCCACCATTCTATGCCGCGCGCCCTACAGAAAAACATCAGAGATCGAAGCCTAACTTCTTCTTCTTCGTCGTCGACAGGCGCCCCGGGCGGCCGACAATCGCAGGACCTGGACGCGCTGCTCAACTCGCTGCAGGTCGACTCGCGCACGGTGCCCGTGACGCACCAGCAGCAGCAGCCCGCTCCGGCGGCCCACCAGCACCACCAGCACCAGCACCACGCCCCTGCGGCAGGCGGCGCTGGAATGCCAAGCATGCGCGCGCCCGGCAGCGGCGGCGGCGGCGCGCCCATGGGGGCTCCGGCGGCGGCCACCCCGAAGGGCTCCTGCGCCACCTGCCAACGCCCCATTCAGGGTCCCATGATGCAGGCGCTGGGCGGGACCTACCACCCCAACTGCTTCGTGTGCGGCAACTGCGGGGAGAGCCTCGGCTCCGGCAGCTTCTTCCAGACCGACGGCCGTCCTACCTGCTCTCGCTGCTACCAGGTACACACGACCGCACACGACACGACACGACCGCACGCGCGCGCGCGCAGCCGCACACACGCAACACACATGACCGCACACGCACTAACGCGCGTGTTGTGTCATCACCCAAAAAAGGCCCAGTTCTGCGCGCGGTGTGCGCACTGCAGCCAGGCGATCCAGGGCCAGTGCATCAGCGCCCTCAACAAGCAGTGGCACGTCAACTGCTTCATCTGCGCCCAGTGCCTCAAGCCCTTCGGCACCGCTCCCTACTTTGAACGGTACGCACGTGTGCGCTGTTGTGAGTGCGTGTGCGGTGGTGCGTGTGCGATTCTGACGTGTGCGGTGGTGCGTGTGCGGTGGTGCGTGCGATGCGGATGTGTGCGTGTGCGGGGTGGAAGAGAGGGGAATCCGTTCTGCGAGAGCTGCCTGTACGGCATCTTTTCGTCGCGGTGCGGCGCGTGCGATCAGCCGATCAAGGCCGACACGGTCAACGCGTGCGGCAAGCAGTACCACCCGGAGTGCTTCGTGTGCGCCCACTGCCGCCGGGCGTTCGCGGGCCAGCCCTACTTTGAGTACGGCGGACGGCCCTACTGCCAGCTCCACTACCACTCCCAGATAGGCGCCACCTGCGGCTGCGGCTGCGGCCGGTACGCCTCTCCGCTGGCTGACGTGGCGATTCCTTGAATCCCAGCAATGCTGACGTGGCTTTGTGTGGCGGTGAAGATCGATCATGGGGCGCGTGGTGCAGGCGCTGGGCAAGCAGTGGCTGCCGGAGCACTTCCTGTGCGGCTTCTGCATGAACTCGCTGGCCGGGCAGAACTTCACCCAGCGCGACAACAAGGCCTACTGCAACGGGTGCTTCGGCAAGCTATTTGCGGCGTGATCCATCGTCTCCTGCATGATCGTCGTGTGCGATGTAGACGTGTGGCGCCACCGCACACGCACACGCAGCACCACCGCACACGACGCACGACAGCACTCGCGCCTTGCTATGTAAATCACCAAGAAATGAGAATTTCCATTTATTTTCTCAATTAAAAAGCGCGGGAAATAAGGGAGAACGGGACTGAGAGATTAACGAGATTTTTTTAGATTGAAGAGATTGGCTTATCAATCACCAACTAATGGCGGCGCCGGTTCAAGAGGGCGAAGTGGTAGCGGGATTCCTCGAGCACGGCTCGGTGGAGGCGTTCGGGCGCGGTCTTGTCGGCCGTCTGGCCAGCGCCGCGGCTGTCGCCAATGAGCTGCCCGAGGGGGATGATTTCAACTTCCTATCGACCGCGTCATTTGCAGGACCCGATTCGTTCCGCCCCACGATGCGCAAGATGCAGAATCGGCTTCTCAGGCTGGCCCAGGAATTAATCAACCACGAGCTGCCCCGCAATCCCCCGCGCGTGGACGATCCCACCGATCCCGAAGATGTCACGGATCGATTCGAGGCCGTTGTCGATTCTACAGATCTTCTCCTCGAGAAAGTGGTGCGTTGCCTGCCGCCCCTCGCCCTCTGCTCTTTTGAAAAAATCGAGTAGCGGCGGCTCTTCTCCTCATCTCCCCATCCATCCTCCCATCAACAAACAGGACAACTTCGCCGACGAGGCCCGCGGCCAGAGCAATCGCCCCAAGGTCGTCGTCAGCACCACCACCACACAAGAGAAGGTTCGCTCTTCGCGTCCACACCTATCGTGCTCGTGTCGTGCTCATGTCGTTGGTCGTGTCGTGTCTGATGGTGGTAATGATGATGATGATGGTACACAGGGAAGGGACTTTCATCTGTTTCACGGCAGCAACGTGCTGCGGCCGCAGCTTCAGTTCAAGGACCCCGTGGACAACACCCACACGCCGTGGATGCCCGTCCCCTATCGCAACGGCCAGCGGCCCACCCCCGCCCCTCCTTGTACAGCTCCTCTTCCTCTTCCTCCTCACCCACTCTTAATTGCCCGATCCCGTACGCTGATTGTCTGTCGTGTGTCGTGTGTCGTGTGTCGTGTGTCGTGTGTCGTGTGATCCTTCGATTGGGGGAGAGCAGCGGCGCTGCCAAAGGACCTCGAGACTCACATGTCGACGCAGCTCGGCATCACTCTCCCCGAGGAGTCGTTCTCAATGTACGACACACACACGCACGCACACGCACACACACAGCGCAGCACTCACAAGGTCTGTGCGTGTGCAGGTACCCGCACCCGTTCTACGAGCAGCTGGCCAACCTCGAGTACCTGCCCTCGCAGCTGGGCTCCTGCATCGAGCAGCCCTTCCAGCCCCTCGAAAACATCCCCTTCACCTTTGTACGCATCTCTCTCTCTGGAATGCGTGGAATGCCATGCCACCTCCTGCTTCTCTAAGACGCCGGACATCATCAATCAGGTGGCGACGGTGAAGGACCTGAAGGACGTGGCCCAGAAGCTCGACGCCCAGACCGAGTTCGCGGTGGACTTGGAGCACCACTCCTATCGCACCTTCCAGGGCTTCACGTGCCTCATGCAGATCTCCACCCGCACAGGTACGCGTGGTGTGTGTGTGTCGTGTGTGTGTGCGTATGTGTGTGAGTTGCGTTTGTGCGGTGCCACGTTGGTGCTATTGCTTACTTGCTTGCTTTCAAACTCTGATGGTGGGTCGTGGATCTCTCTGCAGAGGACTTCATTGTGGACACGTTGGCGCTGCGGGAGCACATGCACCTCCTGAGCAGCTCCTTCCACGACGCCAACATCGTCAAGGTGTTCCACGGCAGCGACAGCGATATCATGTGGCTCCAGCGCGACTTTGGCCTCTACGTCATCAACATGTTCGACACCGGCCAGGTACTTTTCCTGCACACGACACACATCGCACACGCACCACACACACACACACACACACACACACACGATACACACGCCGCGCACGACACACGGAGTGACACGCACGGGCCAACGCATGCAGGCTTGCCGCGTGCTCGAGTACCCGTCGTTCTCGCTGGCCTACCTGCTGCGCCACCACTGCGGGGTGCTGGCCGACAAGAAGTACCAGCTCGCCGACTGGCGCATCCGCCCGCTGCCCGAGGAGATGCTCAAGTACGCGCGCGAGGACACCCACTACCTCCTCTTCATCTACGACAAGCTGCGGTACAACCACCCCCATATCAACCCACCTCAACCCCCTGCACTCACTGTGTGCGGGTGTGTGTGTGCGTGTGTGGTGTGTGTGGTGTGTGTGTGTGTGTGTGGTGCGCAGGAACGAGCTGATCGGGCGTGCGAACATGTCGAACAATCTGATCCTGGCGGTGCTCAACCGCAGCAGGGAGCTGTGCCTGCTGCAGTACGAGAAGCCCCTGTGGACGCCCACCAGCCACCTCTCCCTCTACAACCGATTCAACTACGTCTTCAACGAACAGCAGATGCGCGTCTTCGCCGCCGTCTACAAATGGCGCGACACCGTCGCTCGTGAAGAGGTACGCGTGTGTGTCGTGTGTGTCGTGTGCGTGCGTGTGTCGTGTCGTGTGCTCACATTTCGCGCATTCCACAGGACGAGTCGTATCGGTATGTGCTGCCCAATCACATGCTGTTCCACATCGCCGAGCTGGTGCCGACGTCGGTCCCGGCCCTGCTGGCGTGCTGCAACCCGGTGCCCCCGCTCGTCCGCATCAACGCCGAGATCCTGGTCGACGTCATCACCGCCGCCCGCGCCGAGCCCTCCCTCAGCGAAGGTTCGCCGCCCTCCCCCCCCAACGCTCGCTTTGCAGACCACCTCGCTCACCGCACACGCACACGCACCAACGCACGCACACCACCGCACACACAACACGACACGACACACGCACAGGAGGTGTGACGCCGCGATGGGAGACGTCGTACCGGCCGCTCATGGCGCCCACGCACCAGCGGATGGGTCCCTCGGCGCACCAGACGGCCGCCGACCAGCAGCAGCCCCCGATTGCGCAGGCCCAGCCTGCGGCCGTGTCAGCGCAGTCGGCGGCCGTCGCCGCCACGCCCGACCGGCGCGACACTACGAGCCCCACGCTCTCCAAAGACGAGCTCTACTCCACCGCCGGTACGAGCCGCCGCCGCTGTCGCGCGCGTTGTGTGTCGTGTCGTGCGTTGTGTGTCGTGTGTCGTGTGCGGTGGTGCGTGGCTGACGTGTCGGTTGGCTGCCGTGGTCGTGCAGGCTGGACGTCGCCCCGGAGCTCCCGTGCGGCCGTGTGCTCGCCCGTCAACAAGGTATACTATATTTTATATGAAATTTAAAATAGAATTGAAACGCGTCTGAAACTAAATTGGGAAATATTTATACTGTTTTGTATGAAACGACGCAGAACTATCGCACGATGATCCCGCGGGCGGGGAGCAGCCTCTACAGCACGCTCGCCGACGCGTCGGACTCGGACGACTCGGACGAGGACAAGAAGACCGCCATGCTCATCGCCTCCTCCATCTCCACCCAGGGCCTCCTCCCCTGGCGTACGCCACCCACCACCCCACCATCACCGCACACACCGCACACGCTGATGGCACACGCACACCGCACACGCTGATGGTGGCACGCGCGCGACATACAGATGAGGTGATGGCGCCGGAGGCGGAGAGCGCGGCGGCGGCCGGCGGGGCAAAGGCTGCGGCGACGACGGCGGCGGATCCGGCGATGGCGGACGTGCCGCGGTCGATGCAGGAGATCTACGAGATTTCGAACAAAAACCGAAAGCGCAACAAGGAGAAGCGGAAGCTCAAGGAGACCTCCAAGGAGACCGCCGCCGAGCCCTTCTCGCCCGTCAAGTTCTCCACCTCCGACGAATCCTTCGACGGCGCCGAAAACGACACCATGCAAGGTATGCGCGTGTGCGCGTGTGCGTGTGCGGTCGTGCGTGCGTGTGAGTGTGCGGTAAAATAATGATGTGTGTCGTGTGTCGTGTGCGTCGTGTGTCGTGTCGTGCAGGTGGTCGGAAGAAGCAGAAGCCGAACGATCTGAACGACGAGGAGTTCATGAAGTCGATCGGGTGGGCCTCGGAGGAGGACGCCCGGCAGGCGCGGGAGGCGGCCAGCGCGCCGGCCCCATTCGACTACGCGGCCGCCCCGGCCCCGTTCAGCCAGGCCCAGCCGCAGCCGCCGTCGCAGGAGGCCTCCGACCACACCTTTGCCCCGCGCGGCTCCCGCAACGCCGCATCGTCGTCGTCGGGCGGACGCAACCAGCAGCAGCGCCCGGCGCAGGCCTCGCAGCAGGCGCCCTTCGATCCCCACGCCAACCTCAGTACGAACACGACACCACACGACACGCACGCCGCACACGCATACACGACACGACACGACACGCGTAGCTAACGACACGCACGCACACACACACAACGTCAACAACAGACAGCATCAGCGGACCACGAGGCGGGGGGCGCGGACGGTTCCAGCGCAAGGACCGAAGCAAGACGCAGACCTTTGGCGCTGCCCGAGGCGGCGAGAACCGAGGCCAGTGGCCCCGAAGATAGAGCCCCCTCCCCTCTGCCCACTCTCCACTACTTCACTACTTTATCGTCTTCTTCATCGTCGTCGTCGTCTTGAAAACAATTTTTATGGGTACAAGGAAGGTGTTGGGAATGATGATGATGATCGTCATCATCGTCATCGTCATCGTCATCGGCGTCATCAGTGTTGTTATTTGGAGGTCTTGCGGGATCGATTGGAGGGCGGGGCGATGGTGGTGCCGACGACGTGCGGCGATGTTCGCGACCCGCCCGACACCTCTAACTGTCCCGCCAATCGCTCGCACTCCACCTACGCAAAAAACCGGCCGTCAGCACGACACGCACAACACGACACACACGACGCGACGCGACGCGCATACCTGGAGGGCGGCGCGTTCGGCGGCGAATTCGTCGCGTTCCTTCTTGAGCTTGTTGATCTTGTCGAAGGATCGGCGCTCCTCCTTCTCCTTCTTCTTGAGGTTCTCCTTGAGCGCGTGCAGCTCCTTCTCCGTCTTCTTGGCCGACGACGACGATGATGGCGAAGGCGACGACAGCGAGAGTGGCGACGACGCCGACGACGATGAAGACGACGAGGCGCCGGCGCCGGCGGCGGACAAGCCGCCACCGCTGCTGAGCGGCGTGGGCGGCGAGCTGACGGGCGAGTCGGCCTTGGCGCCCTGGACCAGCAGCGAAGACATGCGGTCGCCGTCCAAGGCCTCCCGCTGCCGCAGCTTCTTCTTCAGCCGATGCACCTCCTTTGTGCAAGCACTGGTCAGACACGACACGCACGGCACACGACACGACACGCGCGCAATAGCACGACACACACGGCTAAGGCGACGCGTGAGTTATACCTTTTTCCGTTCGCGGTCTTTGGCGGTGGTCTGCTGGAGGGCGGCCTCCTTGTCGCGCAGCAGGAGCTCCATCGACTCGGCCTCCCTTTGAATGGAACATGTTGTCAGCGCGCGTGTTGCGTTGTGTGTGTCGTGCGTGTCGTGTCGTGTCGTGTCGTGTGTGGCGTACTTGCTGAGGGTCTCGCGGAGTCGTTCGATTTCTTCCTGGTACGAAAACTCGTTGCGCCGCAGGGTGTCGATGACCGCGTCCTTCTCCCGCAGTTGGTTCAGCAGCTCGTTGTACGTCTTCTCCGCTGCCGACAGCGACCTGCGTCCATCGATCGCCACACACACCACCGGTCAGCCAACACACATCAACACGCACACGCACACGACACGCGCGACCGCACGACACGCATGGAGTGGGGGGGGGCGAAAGTGTACATTCGGAGGTGGTCGACTTCGCGTTCGCGGACCTCGAGCTCGCGGAGCAGTTCGGAGTAGGAGGCGGAGAGCGACGACTGCTGGCCCGCGTCGCTGCCCCACACCTCGTTCATCAGATTCACGCACGGGTGCATGAAGAACTCGTTCCACGATATCCGCAACGACTCATCCTACACAACACAACACGACACACGACACAACACAACACGACACACGACACACACACGACACGCGCGGGTCGGCATGGCTCGAGGGTGGTGCGGTGCGGGGGGGGGGTGAGGGTACGCGTTGGAGGAGGCCGGAGAGGAGGTCCTTCATTTCGTCGGAGAGCTCGAGGTCGGCCGGGAAGCAGAGCGACTCGGTCAGGATTCGGTCCAACAGCTGCGCGCCACGTCAGCAGTGCTGGGTTAGGCCACGACCAATGGCAAGCGCGCCTCACATAAAGCCTCGCGCGCGATTGGAGGGTTAGCGAGCGGGGGCCGGGGGGGGGCGGTACTTGTCGCGGATTGGAGGCGGGGAAGGGGAAGTCGTCGGTCAGCATCTTGTACACCAGCACGCCCACGCTCCACAGGTCCGCCTTCGCCGTGTGCGGCTGAAATCGCACGACACGCACCGGTGTGAGTCGTGTCGTGTGTGGTGTGCGTGTCGTGTCGTGTGTGCGGTGGTGTGTGTGTGTCGTGCGTGTCGTGTGGTGGTACGTACCTGCCACTGCAGGATTTCGGGGGCCATGTAGAGCGGAGTGCCGACGCCGCCGGTCTCGGCCACCTCGCCCGCGTGCAGGAATCGGCCCAGCCCAAAGTCGGCCACCTTCAGCACTCCGTTCTCGTCCTGCGCCGTCAACAGCAGATTGTCCGGCTGCCGCGCACCCCCCCCCGACATCGCCATCAACATCCGCGCGTGCGCACACGTGCGCCATGTGTCGTGTCGTGTGCGTGTGCGTGTGCGTGTGCGATACCTTGAGATCTCGATGCAAAATGCCCTTGTCCTTCATGAACTTCATCCCCGAAGCTGAACACAGCACACACGGCTTGTGAGTTCGTGCGTGCGCGTGTGCAGTGTGTGTGTGTGTGTGATGAGCGTGCGTGCGTGCGTGCGTGCGACGCACCGAGTTGGCGGAGCCAGTAGCGGGCCTCCTTTTCGGACAGGCGGCCCTTCTTGCGGAGGTAGTCGCGCATGTCGCCGCCCGGCACGTACTCGAGGATGAGGTGGATGCTGTGCGCGTGGGTCTTGATGAGGCTGATCAGTTCCGCCCACGACCGCGGGCGCAGCCACTCGGTCGACTCCGGGTGCGTCAGCACCACGTCCAGCAGCTGCACGATGTTCGGGTGGTGCGCCTCCCGCATCAACTCTGAGACACATTCCACGATGGCATTCCATGATGGCATTCCACGACATTCCACGAATGTGTGGTGTCAGTCGCCAAGTGGCTTGAGGGCTGTGTGATGAGTGAGTAGCGAAGAGTACCGATTTCGCGTCGGAGCTGCTTCTCGGCCTTGCGTTCTGGTCGCTTCCCGGCCTTGGTGAGCGTCTCCCAATCGAATACCTGCCGACCGCACGCACGCACGACACACGACACACACGACACGCACGCAACACGGCACACACGACACACACGACACTCAAGAGTTAGCGCGGGCGTGGCGCACTCGAACAAATGGCGGTGGTGGTGACAACCTTGATGGCGACTCGCCGAGCGCTCTTCACATGATAGCCCAGAAACACCGTGCCGAACATGCCCTTTCCCAACTGCGTGTGTGCGACGTGTGTTGTGTGCGTGTGGTGTGTGAGGTCACGATTATAGAACGCTCGCGCGTGTGCGCACGCAGAGCGATCGTCGTTGTGTCGGGTCGAGCCGCACCTTGATGCCCGTACAGAAGTGGTCGCCCACGAATCGCATATTGACCCCCGCCGGCGGCTCTCCGCGGCTCGTCGCCCGCCCCAGATCCACTTGCCTGCCACCACCCACCCATTCAGCCACCGCCGCGGGGCGAAATCGGGGCGAGAGTGTGAGAACTGGGGCGGGAGGGGGAAAGCGGCGGCAAAAGGGCCAGAACGGGGCGAAAACGTGAAGGGCGAGAGAGCGAGAGTGAGTGTGGTCGTACCGGACGAGGGAGGAGATGTTCTCGGGCGAGGCGACGATGAGATGCTTGAGCACGGCCATGGCGGCCTCGGCGTTGGCCGGGTTCAGGTGGAGCAGCAGGCGGTTGACCAGGCCGTGCACGAAGGTGCCGACGAAGGAGGAGCGCAGGTGGGGCAGCAGGTTGGCCACGCCGACGATGGCGCGCAGCACCTCGCCCCGCGGCCGCTGGCCCTTGTCCAGCTCCACCGCCAGCCGCTGCCCGAGCCCGCCCCGCTTGCCACCCTTCATCCCTTCGCCCAGCAGCACCAGACTACCCACCAGGCCCCGCTCCCTGATCAGCCCTGGAATGCAAGGAATGCAAGCGCAGCTCACGGGGGTGGGGGGAGTTGATGACACACCATTCGATGGCGGCCTTGGCCGAGGCCGAGCCCTCGCGCTTCTCGCCGATGATTTCGAGCAGGGTGTCGAGGACCTCCTCCTCCTGCTCCTCGTCGAGCTCCTCCTCGTCCTCCTGCAGCCGCTCCCGCAGGTTCGCCAGAAACTTCTCGTCCGGATCCCCGCCGCTCTGGTTGATGACGTCATGGTGGGTGGTGCGGGGGGGGGGCGCGATTAATCGCTGAGCGCGACTGAGATTGGGGGGAGGGAGGGATTGGGGGGATAGGTACTCCTCCTGATCGGGAGGACATGTCGCGCGAGCTTAAGGAGCTGGTGGTGAGCGACGAAGAGGAGCTGACCAGGTTCATGCCCGACGATGAACAAGCAGCCTCTCTCTCTCTCTCTCTCTTGTTTCTTGTTTCTTCTTTTGTATTTGTTTGTTTGTTTGATTGGAATCGATTAATCGTTCAACAACGTCAAAACGCGGTACAAATAGAGGAGACAACACGCACGCACGAAGAGTTCCAGTCAAATCTGGTGCGTAAAGGGGCAGTACCTTATTTGTCCATCAGACGAACGCTTCTTTCTTGTTTTAGCACCACAATGCGCCGGCGAATTCCCTTTCCTCGCTTTCGCTCTTTGCACGGGGGTCCCTGGACAGGCGAGAAGAAGAAGATGTGTGTGTGTGTGTGTGTGTGTGTGTGTCGGTGTGTGTGTGTGTCGGTGTGTGTGTCTGTGTGTGTGTGTCTGTGTGTGTCTGTGTGTGTGACTGTGACGAGAGGGCGGGGGAGCAGAGACCTTGATATATACGTTTATTCGGAGGCGACGGAGGGGTGGACAGGAAGACCGGCGGCGGGGCGGTACCACGAGGGTACGTCCGCACCACGCATGCCGTAGTGGTAATCCATCAACAGCTCCGCCCCATCCTCTAATACCACCGCCCACCGGTTTCAGTTATCATTCACTGTGTGTCGTGTCGTGTCGTGTCGTGTCGTGTCGTGTCGTGTCGTGTCGTGCCGGAATTTGGGTACCCAAATCATCGGCGGCCACGATCACCATGCCCGACATGACAACTCCGTCCGCACCCGCGTCGCCCTCGTGGCGTCGGGGGAGGAAGTAGACGTTGGGAATGTGTCGGCGCAGGTGGTCGTGGGCATCGAGGTCGGCCGCTAGGAAGTCGAACGGCAGCGAGACTACGTTGGGCCGTCGGTCGGCCGGCGGGTGGTTCACCAGATGCCCCACCGCGTAGGAATTCGCAAACACCTCCGCAAAATCGATCTTGTCCCCTGCACGATCGTCATCATCACGGGGTCAGCTTGCGTGCTTAGGCATGTTGTGTGTGTATATGTGTGTGTGGTGTGTGGTGTGTGTGTCGTGTGTGTCGTGTGTGTCGTGTGTGTGGTGTGGTGTGTGTGTCACCTGAAGGTGGTTGCTGGCGAGGGTGATCTCGGGACCAGGCAGCGAGGAACGCCTGTCGTGAGCTGCCCTTGCTGCTCGCATCTATCAACATCTGTTGGCCAACCGCAGCGCATGCGATGAGAGAAAAGCCTCAAGGCGATGCCAAGCGGCTTGCGTGTCACTTTGTGTTGTCCTTACCTTGTCCGAACGGAACGCGAGGTAGTCGTTGTCGGTGTAGATGTGCGGGTAGACCAGCGGCAGATCCGACTCGGCGTAGACGCACCCCGGGTAGAACGCCACCACCGTACCCCTACTCGCTTTCCCCTGTTTTGTGTTCGTTTGCGTGATTAACGAAAGTCGATGGTTGTGTAGAGCCCCTTTGCTGACTGCACACCTGGATGAAGACGCCCTCGCCAGCGCCGGAGATGGACGAAGGTCGCTTGGCCAGAGTGAAGCCGCACGAGGGAGAAGCGGGTAGAGGCTTCGCCGCGGTGGGCTTCTTCATGAAGAACTTGGCCTGCTTGGCCAGTGTCACCAAATCCCCAAGGCTGCAGGCCACGCGCACGACGCACACGACACACGACACACGACACGCGCTGAGCATGTGGGCTGGAGTGATTGGTGGATGGTGGTATCAGCTGTACCTGTAGCCGGGTGGTGCAGCGACGCCGCGCTCATGGAGAAAGGCTTCGAGGCGCTCACGGGAAAGCGAGTTCAAGTCCACCTCGCCCCTCAACGACGCCGGTGGCGCCTGCACGACCGCTCACCAGCAGGGCGAGTCACGTGAGTTCTTGCGATTTATTGTGCGCAGGAGGAGGGCAAGTTGCCCGCGGTACCTCGGTAGTGGAGTCTTCAGCAGAAGTCGCCAGCTCGTGAGCGCACTTCAGCAGCGCCTCTACGCGCGGCCACAAGGCGTTGTGCTGCGTTCCCATGTGCTCCATCTTCAAACAATGCTTAAATCCCGAACTTTCAATTCGGCGCTACGACAAGATTACGGCTCGTGATCTTGTCCGCACTCTCATTTTCTATTTCTTTTTTCTTTTGGTTTTCGCGCCAAAAGAACGTGGCGGTAAATTAAAATGATTTTATTTTATTAAGGAGGCAACCAATGACGCGCCTTTTGACGGCTCACGTAGAAAGGAAAGTGGCGACTAAAAAGAAAACAGGGGCCAGACGAACCGGTGGTCGGGAGTTGGGTGGGTTGTGAAGAAAGACGAGAAGATCGACCCTTGTGCCAAAGGAGGAGGAAGGCAACAGGGAGTGTGGAAGAGAAAAAAAGAGAGAGGAAGAAGTGGATCTAGAATAGAGGTGAGAGAGATCTTCCACAACACACAGAAGAATGAGGAGGGCACTTCTCATTTTCGTCCTGTTCGCCACCCTGGCCCTTCTTGATGTTCGACCGGTCACTGCCGATGGTGAGAGTCTCCCCTCACCACCTTGAAGATGGGAAGAAGGAGATCGCCACATATCTTTCACCTCTGTGGTGATCCTGATGATCACCGCCCCCTCGCTCACTTCTCAATCGTTCTCTCTCTATCTTTATCTCTCCCTCGCCTCTACTCTTCACTGCCGCATCTTTGCTTGGTTTGTTCGACGATCATCAACAACTCATTTTCTTCTTCTGCTGTTGATGAAATGGTGGTGGTGAACAGAGACCATCACGGAGGAGCGTCAGGGCTGTTCCAACTCCGCCCTTTGCGCCATCCCCGTGGCCGGTAACGGTCTCTACTCGCTTCTCTTCAACCCGCTGACCCAGGTCACAACATCGATCAGCCTCTTCTCGCCGCTCTACGACTCGATGAGCAACTTCACCCTCCAGGCCTGGGTCTACCTCACCCCCGTGACCCTCCCCGTCCCCAACGAGCGGCCCATCTTCTTCAAGGGTCTGTTCGCCCAGACCGGCCACAACGGCGTGCCCGCCTCAGTCGAGTTCTACGTCTATGTCAATAGCAACAACTTCGTCGGGTTCCGCATGGGCGGCGGAGGCACCAGCTACGGCTTCGACTTCACCGCCCCTTTCGCCCTCGGAAGCGATGTTTGGACGCAGGTGACGGTGACTCTCAACGCGCGCACGCGAGTGGCCTCCATCTACGTCGACGGCGCGCTGCTGGCGGCGCAGAACTGGCTCCTCACCACGCCCTCCGGCCCCTACGCCGACGAGGTCGCCTCGCCTCGCGTGTTTGGCGAACGCATCCAGCTGGGTCTCTACTCCCAGTTCCAGGGGACGGTTCACCGCTTCGACGGTCGAATCGACGAGGTGCGCGTGTGGAACCGCGCCCTGAGCGCCGCCGAGATCAACGCCAACCTCAACAGTACGCCCTCCCCCTCTCCTCCTCTTATTCATCATCTTCATCTTCTTCTACATTCTCGGGGGGAGAGATGAACCAATATTCTCTACCGTCGTGTTGGCTTTGGGCGAGTGTATTGATTGGGTGGTGCGTGGTTGCATGGCAACAGAGGCCTTGGTGGGTGAGGAGGCGGGGTTGATCTCGTACCACCCCATGAACGAGGGCACCGGCTCGACCTTCAACTCGCCGTGGCCCCTGTCCGACGGCCGCCAGGCCCCGGCCACCGTGCCCACCGTCACCGGTACCATCGTGCCGCCCGAGACCCTGGTGTGGACTTCGTCCGAAGTGCAGGTCAACCACGCCAACACCTACTACGCCAAGCGGGGGCTGCCCGCAGAAGCGCCTAACCTGGGCGTCACCTTCAACCTCTACGCCATCGTGCCGCTTGGGTCCACCTCGGCGTCGAACCTGGCCTACTTTGTCCAGACCGCACCAAGCAACGGTAAGCTGTACTGGGAGGGCGTGCTGATCGACGAGACCTACGACGGCCCCGACATCAAGGGTAACCGCACCCACCCCTATCCCGAGCTGGTCTACATGCCCAACGACGGCTTCACCGGCACGGACACGATGGAGTACCTGTCGTTCTACCGCGGCGGCGACTCGGAGCTCATTGCGGTGACCTTCACCACGGGCTGCCGGTGGATCGACAACTGCAACGTGTGCGAGGGCACCGTCGCCTGTGAGGGCTGTCTCGAGGCGCAGAAGGACGTGTGCGGCGTGTGCTTCGGCAACGGCACGTCGTGCCTCGGCTGCGACAATGTGCCCAACTCGGGCAAGCAGTGGGACGAGTGCCAGGTGTGCGGCGGCCTCAACCGCGACAAGGACGCGTGCGGCGATTGCTTCGGCAACGGCTCCAGGTGCGCTGGGTGCGACGGCGTGCCCAACTCCAACCTCGACTTCGACGCCTGCAACGAATGCGGCAGGAACAACGCCTCCATGGACGTGTGTGGCGTCTGCTTCGGCAACGGAACGTCGTGCCGTGGCTGCGACGGTCAGCCGCAGCGCGATCCGGCTCTCCGACGCATCATCGACGCGTGTGGCGTGTGCGCGCTGCCCGCCGATGCCAACTCGACGTGCCGAGGCTGCGACGGCAAGGTCTCCTTCCCGCCCAAGCTCACCGACTTGTGCGGCATCTGCGGGGGCAACAACACCGTGTGCCTGAGCGGCTGCGACAATTTGCCCAACTCGCGCGCGATCTTTGATGAGTGCGGCGTGTGCGGCGGCAATGGTGTGTCGTGCAAGGGCTGCGACGGCGTGCCCCAACGTGACCCGGCGCTGAGGGCCAAGGTCGACGAGTGCGGGGTGTGCGCCGGCAACGGCTCCACCTGCGCCGACTGCGACGGAGTCCCCAACGGCCCCAACCCGCCCGACGTGTGCGGCGAGTGCGGCGGCAACGGCACCTCGTGCCTCGATTGCCTCGGCTGCCCGTTCGGCGACGCCGTGCGCGACGTGTGCGGCGAGTGCAACGGCAACGACTCCACCTGCGCCGGCTGCGACAACGTGCCCGAGCCCAACCCTGTGCTGCGCAAGGTCAAGGATCTGTGCGGCACCTGTGGCGGCAACAACAGCGACTGCTCCCACGAGTGGTGCAACTCGACCATCCCCTTCTCTAAGTTCGACGCTTGCGGCGTGTGCGAGGGCGACAACTCGACCTGCCAGTGCACGTCTTACCGCAACCGGACGGTGGCCATGCTCGACTGCGTGCTGCTCGAGTGGACGCTGGCCAACGCCATGGCCGCGGTCGACGAGCAGCTCGCGCTGCTGGCAGACACCAGCCGCGGCCTCAACATGGTCGAGCTGGGCAGCCTGAACGCCGTCGTGGGCGACCAGATCAAGCAGCTCAACAGCTTCGCCACCGAGTGCTCCGAGGTCTACTGCAGCACGCTCTCGTCGGTCCTGGAGGAGATCGCTCGTGGTCGTCGACGACGTCCTCGAGGGCCGCCGACACCTCGAGACGCTCCGCCGCCACCACCGACTCAACCGGCACCATCTCTCGCTTCGCCGCCCTTCTCCCGCTATCAACCCATTGAGCTCGAGCCTCTTCACCAGGCTCTCTCTCGGAACACCCTTGTTGTATAGCATAGCAAAGTGCGTTCTGAAGAAAGGGCAGCCACTCCTTCCAAGCCCTCCCCTACACCTCCTTCCGCGCCTCTTCTTCTTCACTGCTCGACGCGCGCAACACGTCACACGGCCAGCTCCCACCCTCTCCTCCTCCTCCCAGCCATCTCCTTGCCTTCTTGTCCTCTTCTACGCTAACACGTGGCGCCATCGCCATGACTTCCCAAACCAACGAACTCCACTTCTACTTCACCCCTTCTTCTTCTACTTCTACGTCTTCGGTTTTCATTCTCTCTCCAATAAATAAGTCAGTACGGACCTCTCAAGGTGGGCCACCTTCAACCACATCAACCATCACAACCACAGGCGCTCACGTCGTCAATGATGGGCGGCGATGTAGTGAAGAGGGGGTCAGAAGAGAGAATCGACAAAGTGGGCAAAGGCGGAGGTGTCCGGTGGCGGCAACGGTCGGAGCTGATCGAAGTCGGCCTGGCCCAGCAGGGCCAGCAGTTGATTCGGGGTCGTGTCGAAGACGTGCTTGGCCTGGCGTCGGGTCGTGTCGTGTGTCGTGTGTCGTGTGTCGTGTGTCGTGTGTCGTGTGTCGTGTGTCGTGTGTCGTGTGTCGTGTGTCGTGTGTCGTGTGTCGTGTGTCGTGTGTCGTGTGTCGTGTGTCGTGTGTCGTGTGTCGTGGCCACGTTAGACTTCACAGAACCCAGATCGTGAGCGGGAGTTGCGGGTGTGTGCATACCTGGCCCATGACCGAGGCGATCTCCATCTGGTGATTGTCCATCAGCTTGTCGTTCACAACCACCACCATCTTCTTCCCGATGGAGAGTCCCTCAAGTATCGTGCCCGAACCTGCGCTCGCCACCCATAGCACAGCACAGCCCACGACACGACACGAGTGAGAAGCCAGGATTGCGTGTAGAGCTACACCAAACCAAAGGCGCACCTGCGTGCGAGATGACGAGGGCAGCTTGGGCCAGGACGGAAGCGAAGGAGCTCGACATGGCGAAGGCCTGGTAGGCCAGCCCGTGCTCCTTGGCCAGCCGGGGCAGGTGAAGGGGTGCGTGGGCGGCGTGGGGTCCGTACTGCACGACCAGGGCCTCGTAGCCCCGCGCCACCACGGCCTCCACGAACGCTGCCGAGTCAACGACCTCGAGCAGGTCCTCGAACTTGGTCGAGCCCACCGTCACCAGCACCACGGACTTGCCCTCCACCGCGCTCGCCCCCTCATCTTGTACTTGCATTCTTTTCTCTTTTGTGCACAAACAGATTTCTTTTTTCATTTCCTTTGCATAAATGGTGACGTCACCGCAACTTTTTTTCGTTGGAAATTTCCTGGTTTGATACGGTGATGCGGGGGGGGAGACGTGGCGCAGTGGTGACCTGTCGCCTCTGGCTCTCCTTGAAGACGGTCTGCGCAGCGATTGAATTCGATTTGATTCGAACAAGAGAAGGAGAGGCGCATAGATCGGTAAGCGAGCATTTCAAATCGAGGAGCTAGCGCGACTACACAGCACAGAAAGATCTGAAATGGAAGCCTTCTTGCAGCGGGAAGAGAGGGATGGCGTGAGATGGTCGTGGAATGTGTGGCCCACATCACGATTGGAGGCGACAAGGATGGTGGTGCCTCTGGGCTGCATGTACACGCCGATGAAGAAGATCCCCGGCATGCCCGCGCCCCTTCCCTACGAGCCGGTCCAATGTAAGACCTGCTTGAGCGCACTCAATCCCTATTGCTCCGTCGATGTGCGAGGCAAGTTGTGGGTGTGCCCCTTCTGCTACCAGCGCAATCAGTTCCCTCCTCACTACGCCGACATTAGCGAGACCAACCTGCCCGCTGAGCTGATCCCTCAGTTCACCACCATCGAGTACCAGCTGGTGTCGAAGCCCGCCCTCGCGCCGCCCATCTACCTCTTCGTGGTGGACACATGCCTCGACGAGAAGAACCTCCAGGCGCTCAAGGACTCCCTCCTCATGTCGCTCTCCCTCATTCCCGAGAATGCCCTCGTTGGCCTTATCACCTTTGGCACCACGGTACGCACAGCTCCCCATCCCAATTTACTCTCAAGTAGAAATCGATCTTGTAATGCCACAAATTCTCGGCGATTAATTGGGCTGTTCTTGTTCACACACGGACAACAGGTTCAAGTGTTTGAGCTGGCCTTTGCCGAGTGCCCCAAGTCCTACGTCTTCAGGGGCAACAAGGACGTGACCGCGAAGCAGATCCAGCAGCTTCTCGGCCTTGGCGGCGCGGCTCGCCCCCAGCAGACCCCCTCCGCGCAGACCCCCTCCCAGATCACTCCCAACCGCTTCCTCCGCCCCTTCAGCGAGGTAGCCTCCACCTCCACCACCCAGCCTCCTCCTCTTCTGGGAAGACTTCTTCTTCTCTTTCCTTCTTGATCTTTGTAGCAAAACGTAGTGGTCCTGGGTTGACCCTCTCTTTCTTTCTTCCCGCTACGTAGGTCGAGTTCACGCTGGAGACGATCCTGGAGGAGCTGCAGCGCGACCCCCGGCCGGTCAAGAACGACAGGAGGCCTCTGCGCGCCACCGGTGCCGCGATGTCGCTGGCCGTGGGTCTCCTCGAGGCCACCTTCTCCGGCACGGGCGCCCGCATCATGGTCTTCCTCGGCGGTCCCTGCACTCACGTACTACTTTCTCCCAACAACACCCAACACCATCATCATCATCAACAACATCATCAACATCATTGAGAAAGCGAGCTGACGATAGTGTTGTGTTGTCTTCGCCGATGACAGGGTCCCGGCATGGTGGTGTCGGACGAGCTGAAGGAGCCGATCCGGTCGCACCACGACATCAACAAGGACCGCGCCAAGTACGTCAGCAGCGCCACCCAGCACTACGACGCGCTGGCCAAGCGCGCGGTGAAGGCGGCGCACACGGTCGACATCTACGCGTGCTCGCTGGATCAGGTCGGTCTGATGGAGATGCGCTACCTGGTCAAGCGCACCGGCGGCGTCATCATCCTCGCCGACGAGTTCGAGTCCGACATGTTCAAGAAGTCGTTCCAGAAGCTGTTCGCCCACGGCGAGGACGAGCAGCTCAAGATGGCCTTCAACGGCACGCTCGAGGTGCAGACCTCGCGCGAGCTCAAGGTGTGCGGCGCCGTGGGCCACCTGTCCTCGCTCGGCAAGAAGAGCTCGTCGGTCGCGGAGACCGAGATCGGTATCGGCGGCACCTCGGCCTGGCGAATGTGCGGACTCGACCCGAGCGCCACCTACGCCCTCTACTTTGAAGTTGTCAACCAGCAGGTTGGTGTACACCACATCCCCCCCCCCGCGTGCGTGAGTCGTATTGATTCCCTTCTTCGTTCTTCTTCGTTCTTCTTTCTTTCTTCGCAGGCGGGTACGGGAGGCGGCCAGCAGGGACTCGTGCAGTTTACGTCGACCCACCAGCGAGCGAACGGACTGCGCGTGATGCGCGTGACAACTCTCGCACACGCCTGGGCGCCCGCCGGCGATCCCAAGGCCGCGCTCACCATGGGCTTTGACCAGGAGGCCGCGGCCGTGCTGATGGGCCGGGTGGCTGTGTTCAAGGCGGAGACGGAGGAGGCCTTCGACGTGCTGCGGTGGTTGGACCGCATGCTCATCCGCCTGGTCTCCAAATTCGCCGAGTACCGGAAGGACGAGCCGTCCTCCTTCCGCCTCTCGAGCAACTTCACCCTCTACCCTCAGTTCATGTTCCACCTCCGCCGCTCGTGCTTCCTCCAAGTACGTTACCATTCACCCTCCTTCGTTCTTCTTTCGTTCTTCTTCGTTCTTTTGGTTCTTACCGCTTCTGCCTCCTTTGTCAGGTCTTCAACAACTCACCCGACGAGTCGACCTTCTATCGCTTCATGCTCAACCGCGAGTCCGTCACCAACTCTCTCACCATGGTACCTTCTTCTTCCTCCCTTTTCTTTTTCCCTCTTTCGTTCTTTTCTCATCGTCTTCTCTCTTTTTCTTTTTCTTCAATAACAGATCCAACCGACGCTCGATGCCTACACCTTCAACGGCCCGCCCGTACCGGTGCTCCTGTCGGCCACGTCGCTCGCCTCGGGCGCCGACCGCATCCTCCTGCTCGACACCTTCTTCCACGTCGTCGTCTGGCGCGGCGAGCGCATCGCCGACTGGGTCAAGCAGGGCTACCAGGCCGACCCCCAGCACGAGGCCTTCCGCCAGCTCCTCGCCGCCCCGCTCGCCGACGCCGACGCCCTCTTGCGCGAGCGCTTCCCCATTCCGCGCTTTGTCGAGTGCGATCAGCATTCGTCGCAGGAGCGCTTCCTGCTCGCCACCGTCGACCCGGGCGAGGCGCCCGCCGCGGCGCAGTTCAACTCGGGCGCGTCGCAGGAGTCGGTCTTCACCGAGGACGTCAACCTCCACGTCTTCATGGAGCACCTCAAGAAGCTCGCCGTCCAGTAGTAGAAGTAGAAGAAGCTCCACACTTTCACTTGCTCATCATCAGTTAGTTGTGTTTGTGTCTTCTTCTTCTTTGATAATACAACAGTTACACTATATAGTTAGAGAGTATGTTGATATTTTATGTACATGTTGGACAAAAATGCAGAAAATGTGTTACACGGCTCAGCCGCTGAGTTGTTCGGCGCAGAACTGGAGGACGCGGGCCGAGGCGTCGGGTTGCTCCTCCTCGAGCGTGCTCGCCACGTCGCGGTACTCGGCGGCCTGGCGTCGGAGAGTGCGCACCTTCGCCTGCCGCTCGGCGATCTCGTCGTCCGACCACAGCCGCTCGCCGCCGTTGGCGCCGTCGGCCGCCTGGGCCTCGAACGCGAATGCGACCTCGGCGTGTCGCTTTCGCTCTTGCTCCTCGTGGACGCGGCCCTCGAGCTTGTCGGCGTAGGCCTCCATCGCGGTGGCCAGCGAGTTGTAGGTGCCCGGCACCTGCTCGATCTCGAGGGCCTGCAGGTGCGACGTGATGGCCTTCTCGAACAGCTGCTCGGCATCCTGGTCTACTGTTGCTCCGCGGCACATTACACACATTCCATAGCAACACAGCGGAATTATCAGCTTCCATTAAAGGAAACGTGTCGTGTAGCATAGGAACGGTTGCAATGGAACAATTAAAGCAGGTTGCTATGTACCGAAAGGCCGGCGCCGTGCTGCTTCGGCTTCGACTCGGCTCTAGGCCCAGAGACCACAGCATGTGCGAAGCGCGCGGCTTCTCGTCCAGCGCCCTCGTCAAGTGTTCGCTGCAACGACGACACAACGACACGTAAGAATCAAAGCGCTCCTAAAGAATGCGGGCGAGCTCGAGTAGCGTACTTGGCGCTGGTGAGCAGGCGGAGGGCCTCGTCGTCGTCGCACTCGGGGTTCATGGCCTCCATGAGGTAGAGGCTGGCGTCGATGGCGTGCACGAGAGGGAAGTGCTTGACCGAGGCCGTGATCTCCTCCACGTCGCCCGGCAGCACGCGCACCTGGAAGATGTTCTTCGTGAGCAGCTCGCGCTTGATCCGGTCCGTGAGCCGCAGAATGTTCCAGCGCTCGGCCAGCAGGAACACAAGCCGCAGCGACAAACTCCTAAACATCGGCAACGCACACGATGACACGACACACAATGTCAACACTCGACACGAGGTACACGACACACACATAGCACGACACGACACGACACGCAACGCATGGCACGCACGACACGCAACATGTCAAGCGGAACGCACTTGCGGAGATCGTAGCTGGGCTTGCACTCGAGGGCGGTGAGAAGGCCGGGAAACTTCTTGGCGCTCACCCGCTTGATCTTCTTCTTCCAGAATCGATCGCTCTGCTTTCACGACACACACAACACGACACACGGCACACGGCACACGGCACGACACACGACGTACGACACACGACCCAATGAGACCTTGCAATGCGATGCGGGGGTCAATGGAAAAAAGTTGGGGAGAGAGTGGACGAAGTGGCATACCTCTCGGCTCGAGCCGAAGAAAATGTTGACGTGCTCGAGGACCAGGTCCTTGCACGACGACTCCGACGACACACCAATCGAATTCTTCACCGCTTTCCTGCGAAACGCAATATAAATGTAAAAATTAGAAATAAATAAATAAATATAAAAGGGGAATAAATAGTGAATGCGTTGTGTCGGTGGGTGGTACCTCATCTTGTAGCGGATCTGGTGCTTGATGCAGCGCGACATGGCCTCGGAGAGGAGCATGATGCGCCAGTACTTGTTCTTGACCAGCTTGCGCAGCCGGCCGATGTGTCGCATGTTGATGCCCCGCCTGTGCATCTCGTACACCGTGTTGGTCTGCTTGTTGAGCTTGACCAGCAGGTAGTCCACGTCGTTCGCCTGCTTCTCAGAAAAAAGTCCCAAAATGTTGAAAAAAGGTGAGCATAAAAATAAACATTAAATCAGAGCATGAATTAAAAGTAATAAAGTAATAATCAGAATAAATATGACAATAATAAATAAAGAGTGAGCAAAAAAACAAAAAACAAAAAGGAAAAGGGCAACACACCGCATCTTCTTTGAGCACGCGCTCGAAGAAGTCGGAGATGTCGGTGTCGTCGAGGTCGCGCGCTAGAGTGGGGATGACCTCGTCGAACATCTTCTTGGTAGCCTCCCGAATGTCGCGCTCGCTCGCCACGATGTCGTTGTCGTACTTGCTCCACCCTACGCAACACGCACGCAACACGCACGCAACACGCAACGCACATCAACGATTTAGCTCCGGATTCAGATCAGACAGTCTTTGTTTTATGTCCGGTTCTGGGCGCGGGCGTACCGGTGAACGCGTCGGACGAGAGGGGCACGTGGAACTCCTTCACGATCTCGGGCCGCAGCATCTTGTAGAACACCGCCCGGTCAGCGTAGGCATCTGATTGTCTGCAGAACCTGGAATTCAGCCACCGCACACACCGCACACACCGCACACACCGCACACAGAGTAGTCGCTGGTGGTGGGGAGCCTCGTACGAGCTGGGCGGGGCCTCGGGGGGCATGAGGCGGGCAAAGTCGAGGAGATAGTAGCGGCCGTCGGTGCCCAGGTGGCCCTCGATGTCGCCCGGGCCGATGATCGGCACGCGCTCCTTGCCCACCGTGTGCTTCTTGAGGTTGAACATGCGGCCCACCTTCTCCATGGCCCGGTTGAGGGTCGGATCTGAGGCCACCACCGTCTTGCCGCCGTCGTCGGAGCCGTAGCGGAGCGAGGTGACATCGAGCGGCAGCAGGCACATGGCCACCATACGGAAGCCCTTGTAGTCGATCTGCATTCCACACACATTCCACACCAATCACAACAGGGAATGTTAACATTGTATCTGGAATGTGCACAATGGTGTGCGTAATGTGTGTGTGTCGTGTGTGTCGTGTGTGTCGTGTGTGTCGCGCACCAGGGACATGAGGGGATGGCGAAGGGTGGTCATGAGCGACGGGGTGGCGAGGAGGCTGAGGCCCTGGAGCTCGAGCCCGGCGGCCTTCATGGCGTAGTCGTCGCGCGGCTTGTCGCCACCGTAGAGCCAGATCGGCGGCTTCTTGCTCAGCCTGGGGTCCTTGCAAAACTAGAAAGAAAAGGAAAGAAAAGTTAAAGAAACCGGATCAGCGCAGGTGGGAAGAGGGGGGTGGATGGCCGAACCTTGAAGAGGATGCCCTGCACCACATACTTTTTACCTCCGGCGATGCCGCCCACTTCGACGGGCTTGATCGTTTTCCTGCGAATGGTGTCGGAGTTAAAAGAACGAAGCGCGTCAGGTGTGTGAATGGGGGGGGGGAAGTGAATGCGCGTACTTGCTGTCGTCGACGTTGAGCTCGTTGATGATGACCTTGGCGTAGGTCTCCACATTGAATACAAAATCGTGCATCAAATTGGAAATCTCCTGCGCATCATTGGCAGACATATTCCAAATTCCCTGTAGTGCGTGTCGTGTCGTGCGTCAGTGCGTGTGTCGTGTCGTGTCGTGTCGTGTCGTGTCGTGTCGTGTCG